CACCCGCACCCGCAACTGCAACATTAAGCCACGCTGTAGCAATTGCGCTCAAGACCACGCAACTTCCGACTGCCCTGCGGATGGAGCCGTGGCGTTAAAATGCACCAACCGTGGTGGTGCTCACCAAGGATCCAACAAGCAGTGCCCTAAACGCGAGGATTTCAAGTGCATTAAAAATCAGGCGTCCACCAACAATCTACCAGCACGAAGAAAGGATAAGGCTCCGGCTTTCAGGGCGGAGGACTCTCCGCCTCTTCATGGACAAGCGAATCCAAGGGTGCGAACCGCCCCCCTTCAATAAACGTCTGGATATTCTGTTCACAGCGGATGAATTGATGGAGATTTTCATCAACATGACCGGTGCTCTACACACTACCAAAAAGTAATGTAAATTTCCGTGCCTGACTGAGACCGACACATGCAAGCGGCCCAAATGACATAAGAATCAGTTGAAAGAAACGAGAAAATAAATTCAATCAATCGTACTTTTCGTCCAGTTGCGTATGTTTCGGTTTGGGAACACTTAACTTTACATGACATGTTTGTTTACGTTCCATAATTTACGTCAAAGATGGATTACGTCTCGTGTAAAAATAGTTATTTTTTGGTATGTACGTAAGTGCCGAAATAAGCCCGAGCATAGCCAAGTGCTCGGTAAGTTCATCATCCAATATGGTATCTAAACCACTAACCATCGCTACCTGGAACGCTTGCTCTGTAAGAGCAAAACAGATTGAGCTTACCGACTTCCTCCGCAAGCATAGCATCGACGTGGGTCTTCTAACCGAGACCCACCTAAAGTCCGGTGACAGCTTCTGGTTGCCTGACCACAACAATATCCGGCTTGATCGCACCAGCTCCAGGGAGGAGGGTGGTCTAGCGGTCATCGTCAGAAAAGGAATCAAGTTCTGCACTCTGCCCCACATCCGCACTTCTATCATCGAGGCCGTTAGTGTGGAGGTGGAATCACCAACTGGCAACGTCCAGTTTATCGCTGTATACTACCAACGCCATCAGTGTACTGCAAGCAACGAACTAAATCCAATTCGAGAAAGACCTGACCGCCATCACCCGTACTAGCTCCCGATTCATCGTTGGGGGCGACCTGAACGCCCGCCATGAAGCTTGGCGGAACTACCAGAGGAACCGGAACGGATGTCTATTGTTCGACCACACACAACATGGACTGTATACTGTGCAATTTCCGGACGAACCAACTTTCATCTCTCCGGCGGGAAATCCCTCCACGCTGGACTTTTTCCTGTCAAACATCGGACTATCCAAGCCGGAGGCGCACAACGATCTCAGCTCCGACCACCAACCGGTGGTGACTGAAGTCGGTGTCAACGTGGTTCCTGCTAGAAGCTGCCTGCGTAAAGACTACCATCATGTCAACTGGGTGCAGTACGGACGAATGGTGGACAGCAACATCAATGAAAATCCACCGCTCGACACCGTAGATGACATCGACCGGACGTTGGGAGGACTCCAACAGGCCATATCCATGACTGACGATGCATACGTTCGATAAGTTCATGTGAGGGGTAAGTTTGTTGATATTGATTCCCGCACCCAATTACTGATTCGGGTGAGAAATGTTCGTAGACGCCAGTTTCAGAGGACTGGAGATCTGGGCAAAAAAAGGTGAAATGACCGATTTGAGCAGGCAGATTGCTTCCAGAATGGACTCACTCCAAAATGAAATTTTCGGGCGTGTTGTCCAGAATCTAGACGACCGCTCCAGACCATTCTGGAAGGTAGCCAAGGTCCTCAAAACTCATCCCAAACCAGTTCCACCTCTCAGAGTCGAAAATGATGACGATCGGCTTTTAAACACCCCACAGGAGAAAGCAAATGCGATCGGCGAGCATGTCGCTTCATCGCATTTGCATGGCTCGACTATCCAAAGTCCGCTCGATGATTGCGCAATGCGTTCAAAACCTAGATGCCTCCCCTTGTGTCTTGCCTCCGGCGGATATGATAACAGTAAACAAATTTGCTCATCGCTGAAATGCACCAAGAACATGAAGGCCCCCGGGTTTGACGGTATATTCAACTTGATCTTGAAGAGACTCAGCATGAAAGTGCAGTCTCTCCTAACCGCTATCTTCAACAGATGTTTGGAACTGCACTACTTTCCAAGCATCTCCAGAAGTAGCAAAAATCATACCAATCCGCAAACCCGGTAAGGATCCAACATTGTCTTCAAGCTATAGACCAATCAGCCTCCTTTCAGCACTGAGCAAATTGTTCGCGAAATTCATTCTCAATCGTTTGCTCAAATTTGTCGAGGAAAACAACATTCTCCTTCTGGAACAGTTCGGGTTCAGAAAGGGGCACTCCACCAATCACCAGCTAGTACTGGTGATGAATAACATCCGAAGTAACAAAGCTGTATCCAAATCCACAGCCATGGCCTTGCTAGACGTTGAAAAGGCGTTTGACAATGTTTGGCATGACGGACTTGTATACAAGCTTTGTAACTTTACTTTGCATCTGGTTCAAATCACCCGTAACTACCTCCAGCAAAGGTCGTTTAAGGTATCGTTGAATGGTTGTCTTTCAGACACGTTTTCCATCCCAGCAGGAGTCCCGCAAGGCAGTCTGCTGGGCCCCTTGCTTTACAGCATTTACACTTCCGACATTCCTCCCCTCGGAGACGGTTGCGTGTTCTTCCTGTTCGCAGATGATACCGCAATAGCCGTCAAAGGAAGGATGCCTCGCGAAATAACGAACAAACTTCAACGATGCCTTAACGCCTTTGCTGATTATGCCACCACGTATAAAATCAAAATCAATGCCTCCAAAACACAAGCGATCATGTTCCTCCATCGGCAATCGCCCAAACTGAAACCGGCTCCATCTTGTACTGTAATCATGGATGGCACAAGGGTTGAGTGGTCTGCCGAAGTAACCTATCTCGGGATGTTGTTCGATGAAAAGCTCGTTTTCCGTTCGCAATTTGAGAAAACCCTAGTCAAGTGTTCTGCCTTGGTTAGATGTCTGTATCCGCTGATTTGCCGCATATCCCGCCTCTCAAAGGTGAACAAACTGGCTATCTATAAACAAATCATAGCACCTATCCTCTACGCAGCTCCGGTGTGGGAATAATGTGCACAGACTCACAGGAACAAAATCCAGGTAGCTCAGAATAGAGTGCTGAAGATGATACTTGATCGTCCTTTCGACACTAGAATAACAAATTTACACGAAGAGGCAGGCATTGCCAAAATAGATTTCAGAATTAACGAAATTAAAACTAAATTTGCACAAAAATGTAATTTATCAGAACATGCTTTGATAAGCAATTTGTATATAGTACAACCAACAATCAATACGAAACTATCGATTTGAAATTGGCTCATTACTTGACTAGCCTATTGGCCCCAAGCAAACGATTAACGTACCCCATTCTAGTCGAAATTCTAGTACTACGCAATGTTTGTTTTGATTCGCTATGAAATTTTGACAGATAAAATGAGGGGTTAGTGGATTTTCCTATGTTTCGAGGGGTGAATCGATTAGCTTGGGACCGAAGAGAGTACCAGAGCTGAGCCAAAAAGTTGAGCACCTTATTTCGGGACCTTCTAGTCTTAGAGTTACCTCTATGGTACAACTTACCTGATTGACGGCGTGCAGACGAGGGAGGACGATGCTCTTTGCTGACTGCTCACAACAGCCTAGTGAAGTGTTTGCAAACGCTCTACTTATTTTGGCCGCGTCAACGTCAATTGACAGTTAGCCGAGGGGTATGTTGCAGCGCATATTTTACGGGGCGTAGGGTGTATCCCACAAATCCCACCAAGGTGGTCATTCTTAAAACTTGATAAGTAATACATGTACAAGTACAAGAAATAAAGATCATTTAGGCTGTGAACCATTTGCCGAGTTAAATTTAACTCGTGGTTAAAAGTGACATTTCGAAAGTTATTTTCTTTGTTCGAAAATCCTTGTGCTGTCGATCGACCGGTTTTCGAGAAGAACTTAACCAAGGTTGTCAAAATTTAACTTCTTGTCTGTCAGAAATAACCACGCTCAGATAGCAGGGTTAATCGATAACTTTCCATCTGTCAAATTTAAACCAAAAGTTTAAATAATACATCAAATAGTTCAGAGCCTTAAAGTCAAAAGTCAAAAAAAAAAAAAAACAAAAAAAGTGGCAAGCAGAAGCAGGAGCAAATCATGAAAAGGTGGAATTTTTCCCTCTGCCTCTGCTGAACATTACCACTGTCAGGCTTGAGCGCTGCTGTTGTGAATCCAATCATTTTCGCATCGGACGGACGGTGTGGTAAAATAGCAGCAGTCAGCGTGATCACCTTGATGGCCACCAACGATGGAGTGGAGAGGATGTGGAATTTGTGGAGATCAAACAATTGGTCCTTTTCAGGACCACACATATTTTACAGAAAGATTTATTGAGACTGTTTTCGGTCCCGTTCAAATATTATGAAATGCGACAACCTAAAAAGAATTGACGTTAATTTTGTCACCCGCCAAAAGATCAAAATCAAAGCCGGCCTGATATTATCCTTACCAAGAATATCAATGTCGGAAGTGAAATGCAGTGCTAGGTCAATATCTTGCGTCAATTGACATTGTTGCTGTGAGCAACAATGGTCCGAAATATTTCCAAATAAATGCTTAAAAATCCCACACCACTAGTTTTCAAAAATCTGCGATGTGCTAAATATTTGTATACCTGCAATCCAAAAAATCAGTTTTCCGTTGCCGTTGCATTTATTCAATAATGGTACAACAAAGATTTTCCTCACTCATCACTCATCGGTGAAAGTGAGAATGGGAAAACCCCCTACTGCTCACCCCTTTCCCCCCTCACTCAGCGAGAGAGTCCAACCGACCAACAACACATTCCATCCAGCCAGCCGAGAAGAGTCCTGTCGTCGGTCGGTCTGTCGGTCCTTCGTTTGGGGACGGATGGTTCAGAAGAAGAATTGCAGTCCCATCGAACGGAGACAGCCAGCGCGTGAGAGAGAGTCGCGAGCAGCAAGACAGTAAGCAAGCAAGCAAGCAAGCAAGAGTCAAAGTCTGACTGTGTGTGACGGTGTCTTTCGGGATAGGGCCTGTTGGAAGAAAAATCCACCTTTTTTTCTGAAGTTCGGTTTCGAGGTTTCCGGTTTTTGGACTAGTTGGAAGAACATCCCGAAGACCGTATCGACGGGACACCGTGGACGATTTTCTTTACGCGGTGGAATTTGCGGTGGACACGGTTGCGCTGCACGGTTGGACCTCCTCGGTCAGTTTCATCCTGCCTGGACGTGTGACACACTGTGCTTAGTGGGGAGGAAAATTGGTTGAAATCGAAAAATCGGGAACTGGTTCGTGTAGATTTTTGGCCAGCGAGGGCGAAACGGTGGACGGTTGAGTTTGGGAACTAAAACAGTAGGTTTTTTTTAACGTTTACGTCGGAACGAACGGTGGAATCAATAGTTGGATAGGAAAAGTTTTTCCCCGAGCAAGGCGTGGAGAAAAATCTGTTCTCGTACGTCGAAGGCTGGACGGAATCGAAGTGGCGAGTGAAGCAGATTTTCGGATTTTCCGTTGATCCTAGTGCGTGTGTGTCAAGTGTTTGAAACTAGGTAAGAATCGTTCGTCGAAAATGTTACAAAATCCTTCGTTTTTGCATCGAAATTTTCTTCATTCGAGGATGGTCCTCGGGTGTGTACGGTGTGCGCCTGTGTGTGTGTGTGTGCGAGTGGAAAAGTGGTGACACAAGAAGATTTTTCCCGAGGTACCCAGCCCTAATTTTTTCTCCATTCGAATTCAGCAACAAACGGGTGCATACCGTCGAGGATTTGATATTGATCAAAGATTTTATTTTGGAAACATTTTTTTCTGGTTCGTCGTTGGAAAGTGCCTTTCCGTAAGGATACAATAGTGTTGCACTCCCTTGTGGGAAAAAGTTTCATAATATCGAAGAAAATCTGAAGAAATCAAAAGAAGGCGTGAACCGTGTGCGAGTGGGACAAACGAGAGAGGGAGAGAGTTTTGTTCGGATTTGGGCTAAAAAGTGACCCACTCATTCTCTCCGGTGTATCTACACTTGAACCACAAACACACATGCACACACTCACACACATGTATACTTGTTTGAATTGAAGAAGAGTCGCGGAGCGCAGCAGAGAGAGAGTTAGCGAGAGGAAAATCCTGATAGTGACGAGATGACAGGTCGGCTCCTCACCAACTTTTCGTGTCCTGAATGGATGGGATGTTGGGACGAGCAGGATGCCGAGCTGCAGCAGAGTGGTATGAAATGAGAAAAAGGCGAAGGGATTTTCATGCTTTTTTTTTGTTCGCTAAAACCGTGATCGACTTTGACAACCAAGGTGGTGCACAAGAAGGTGAGGTGACGGATGGACAACGATCAAGTAAGAAACTCCGTGGATGGGAAAATGGGTGGTGAAATAGTGAGTTGTTTGCTTTGGTGTATGGCAAGGGTGAAGGGTGGAAAGCAATCCGGGAGGGAATGGGGCGTGTGAAAATGTTGGATAATAGGATTTTTGCAGTTTTGATAAAGCTCTGACATTGTGGAAACAGCGGAGCACCGAAATGGGTGTTGTCATTGAGGGAAAAATGCAATTTTGGCATTAGCGTCATGGTTTAGAGCTTACAGCTATTTGAAGCTTAGCAGATTGTCGACTAAGGCGTGATAATATTATGGTTTCCTTGCAGATCAGTCAGACAGGTTTTCTTTGGGTGATTTTTTCTATGGATCAGTGCAAATGGGAAGAATTTTTGTCCCGTTTATTTTATTATATTGATGTACTTCAGGAAGGACCTTCAGGGAAAACATTACGGGATAGTGAGTGTTTTGATGTCTGCTACACTTTCGATGACGTTGCGTTGGACAGTCATGAACCAGGATTCTCCTGATTTCCTAAATTCGAAAGTGATACGAGTTCTTCAGTACTCTACGATTGATATAGACGTTCATTGCCCCTAATCTGGACTTTATTACTATCGCGTAGGTGAGAGTGATTAAACCTCCAACAAACCGGAATTTTCTTAGTAACGTCCTTGATTCTGGTGTGGATAGGTAGAAATATTAGAAGATATTTTTCATAGATATAAAGTTAACTCTACGACCCCTCATGACCCTTTTGGGATGGACCATATGTTTGCATTTATCTCGATTTTTATCTAAAGGAATTAGTGAGTGGGTCGCGGTGGGAATTGATATGAAAATCCTTACCTGGATTAAGTCATGTTTAACGGATCGTCAGCTTATTGTAAGATTCAACGAGAAAAAAAAAACAAATCCAATTCAAGTCACGTCAGGAGTTCACAAGAGCTCGCACTTGGTACCTGTTATTTTCATTTTATATTTAAACAATATCGCTCTTCTTATGCAAAATCTCAGATATTTATGCTGGTGACATGAAACTATTTTTAGAGAAGAAAATATGAATACGTTTCAGAATGAAGTTCTTGTTTTTTATATGTGGTGTTGTATAAGTTTGTTGGAACTAAATGTTACAAAATGCAATCTTACAACGTACAGTAGAAAGCAAATCAAACCAGATATTCGTATTTCATTAGGTAATCAAGTTGTTCAAAGATGTGATAAAATAATAGATTTCGGAGTTATTCTAGATCCCAATTAATATTTGTAGATAATTATAAAACAATGATTCATTGAGCGCTTATTTTATAAAGCGTCTTGGTTTCCACTTTAAAAATACATGCACAATTAACCCTTCATCTCTGCCAAAAATAACTTACGTTGTCTGTACGTTGGGGTCAATTTGACCCCAAATTCAAATTGTCATAGCTCAGCGAAGGTTAACGTATTTTTTAAATTGTTTTGTAAAGTAAATTTAATGTGCTTTCAGTTTAAATAAAAAAAAACATTTCAGAAGGCGGATCTCTCATAGGGAGGGGTCATTGTAAAACTACACCCATGAAGTTGCATATTTATAGAGATGTTTATATCACGAGATCCCAACCATATAGGATATTACTTCCTTCTGCAAAGATATTCAATAATACAAGGGCTTCTAAACTATGGAAAGTTTATGTCATAATTTACTCACTAGATGGCGCTAAAACGAAAATGATTAAGTTGTGCCATAGTCCGCATCGTGCTCTCTTGCCGTGCTGATCTTTTTGTTTTTTGCTGAAGGAAGTTTTACTACTACCTACAGCTACAAACAAATTTATCAAGCACTTTTCAGTGCTCAATATACCTGTAGATTTTCTCCCTTGTTTGACTCTTATTCCTGTTCGATCCTTGTTTGGACTCTACCCCAGGTAATCCTTCTTGGATATCAATTAGGAAAATTCCTCTTCGATCGTTCAGATTCTTATAGTAATCTGCTTGGAAGTCGATTTGGATAAAAATGCTACTGCCGCTATGGCGCCTAAGCGTAACAGAAATGGGCAAACTCTTGATCCCTCTTATGATGAAATTTATTTGAGCAATCAATTTGATTTGCTCACGGATGATGAGAATGATCCATCATCCAGGAAAACATCTAGTAAACTTTCCCGACTTAATGCCAAGAAGGAAAAGGTCCCCCCTATTGTGATAACCACTTCCGATTTCCATGCTCTTCGCACGGAACTTTTGAACTTCGTGAAATTCAAGTTTTCACTGCAAATTAGCCGTCGGGGTGAATGCCGTGTGTTGGCTGAAAAATTGGCTTTAAACGTCATCTCAAGTATCTTACTGAGAAACAGCTACAATTTTTTACTTACGACACCAAAACTGAACGTGTGTTCAAGGTTGTCATGAAAGGACTGCCCAGTGGTGAATCCCTGGATCAGATCAAAGATGAACTGGCAAAATTACCTGGAGTTGTGCCACTCCAAGTAATCAAAATGAAAATGAAATCCTGTCCTGGCGATTCGTGCAATGGGATTTCTAATGAACTAAACAACTTTAACGCCTTAAAAAAAAGTTAGTCTTATGCTCCATGTTTGAGTGAAATGCGAACACTTCAGGAAGACTAGAGAAAATTTCCAAAACCTCACAAGAGTACCGTAAGTGCCAGGGATGGTGTCACGGATCAGAAAATTTGCTACATGCCACCTAAATGCATGAATTGTGGTGATTCCTCTCACGCAAAGGACGACTCTCCTGTGAAGGAAGATCATAAGAAATTTAAATGTTCCAATCCAATTTTTGGGAATGTAAGACTCGCAAAGCGATCCTACAATCTCGTTCTAAGCGACAGGTAGGAAACGCACCACGTTTCCCACCAGGTACAAATTCCTCTGTTGCTAACAACGATCAGCGCTGAGAAATTCTACATTCGTATTCGTAGGTACAAATATCCCACCTGCTTCAAATTCTTCATCAGTAGAAATCAAAATACTAGCCTCATAATTCTAACGAAAATTTTGATAATTTTGACAAAGGAATTTTCACAGAAATCATGAATTGACATGATTACGATATGCTTAAAACTAACTCCATGTTTGATGCTATTCAAACAGGAGTACAATTTTCGAACAATATCGTCATGACTTTGAAATTCAGTAATGGATTTTAAATCGTTAAATATTTTGAATTGGAGTCCTCGATCTCTAAGAAATAAGTCAAGATTCATTCCTAAAGTACGGTTAATAGGGACCAAACAAAAGGAACCGGCATTAACGAATACACGTACAATTCATGGAAGTGATCCTAGACCTTCGTGGTTTTTTCGAAACCACTCATAGACGTCTTCTCACAATTAATTCGGAGTTTTGACCGGAATTTGTACTCTGGGGACTACAGGACGATCCACCAAAAGATCCGGAACACTCGTAAAAAAGATCGATGCATGAAACTGATCCTAGAGCTCCGTGTTTTTTTCAAAACCACTCATACACGTTGTATAAGAAAGAATTCGGAGTTGTGATCGGAATATGGACCCACTTACTCATCGACCGAAAGATCCGGAACATCCGTAAAAATGGTGAATTCATTAAACTGATACTAGAACTAAACGGATTTGTTGAAACCACTCATAGACGTCTTATCAGAATAAATTTGGAATTGTGACCGGAATATGAACCCTGGGAACCACGGGATGATTCACCGGTAGATCCGGAACGTCCTCGTTTTTTTCTGAACCACTCATAAACGTCGTACCAGAATGAATATGAGGTTTTGACCGAAATATGGACACTTGGGACTACAGGATGGTCCACTAAATGATCCGGAACATCCGTAAAAGTGGTCAATGCATGAAACTGATCCTAAAGCTCCGCGTATTTTTTCGAAACCAGTCATAGACGTCTTATCAGAATGAATTCGAAGTTGAGACCGGAATATAGATGCTGGATACCACGCGATGGTTCACCGGAATATCCGGAACATCCATAAAAGTAGTCACCGCGGATTTTTTTTTTTCAAAACCATTCATTGACACCTACCTTATCAATGTGAATTCGGAGTTGTGATAGGAAAATTTACCCTTGGAACCACGAAATGGTTCACCAGGAACATCAGGAAAATCCATAAATTTGGTTAGTTCTTGAAACTGAGCTTAGAGGTCGGCTTTTTTTTCCAAACAGCTCAATGGCGTGTTATAAAAATGAAGTTGGAGTTATGACCAGAAAATTGACTCTGGGAACCAGTGCACAATGGTTC